AGTGGTCCATCTTTACATTCTGCCTCTTAATCTAATTTGAATTAGGTAAAAAGCATCCAGTTTAACTTTTGCCTCCTATTCACATTTTATAAATTTTTATTCATGCTTGACAGGTAATCAAAGGCAAAATTTAGGGTAAACATTTAGTTTTGCCCTTACTGATACCTCTGTTCTATGCGCTAATTTTTGACTCATTAATATAGGATATGATTCCTGTTAATACAGGATATCCCTAAAACAGAGCTTTGTAGGGTTTCACGTGAATAAGAAAATAAAAGAATTCCAGCACTTCTGGGCAATAAAATTTAGGCTTTATTAGTCTTGGTTGTCAGTTTCAGTTTTGTTGTGCCTTCTTTTGGAGCACTGTATACTTGCCAACATCTGGATTTGTACATAGCTGCAGATTAGATGGGCTAGATGGGCTTCCAGTTGGTCTAGTATAATATTTTTTCTGAAGTCCCTTGTGTGTAATGTCTTTCCGTATATAACAATTTTTAAGTGGATTTTGTTGAATATCTTTATAGGGTCTGAGTTTAAAATTAAAAAAAAAAGTTTTATGTAAGGCTTTTTGTTTTTGGATACAGTAATAATACTATATAAAATTAAGGAAAGATACTGAGCTTCCACGAGAAATAAATGTGGAGGTGTCTTATCTTTCTAGATTATTTTTAGGGCAAAGATCCTTTATGCTCTTCTGCTACCTTCCTAATTCTAACATTTAAATTCTTTGCTTAGGAATGTAGGTTTAAGAAATACAGCCTTTCTCTGCATAGCTTAGAAATTTAGAACTGAACTTCATCAGCTTCTTCTTTCTCATGTAAGCCTCTTATATTCAATTAATAAGGAAGAGATTGTATTCTTTGAAATACCAAGAGTAGTAAATGATCCTCTTATCTTGCAATTCAGTGCTGTCCTGCTAGACTTTTTGATGTGGACCGATTCTTAAGGTTCTGTATCTGTGCATCCCTAACACTTAGGACTTGAGCTGCAGCAGACACTTGCTGAACGTGAAATTTTAGAAGATATTTTGTAAAGATAAGTGCTTAACATATATGCGCACACAAATTTTCAAACTTTACTTTTTTTTTTTTTTTTTTTTGGGGGATTATATTTGCAATTGGGGCTGGGGGATGGGACCAGACTGTCTTCACTTTGACATGATGTGTGAAGTTTGCTAGCATTTTTTGTTTGTTTTTTACTGTTATTGTGGAAGGTATGTATGAGAAAAGTAAATCTTGTTCTTTCTACATTCTTTTTTATCAGAACATATTGCTGTCAGTGTACAGAAGGCAAATATAAAGACGTGTGGAATTGTATTTCATTACAAGTTCATGTATACTGGTGCTTTGTCAATAAGTAGGATAACATGTCTGTCCAAAACTTCTCAAAACAGTAGTTTCTGCTTGTCTCTGCATTCTGTGTGAAGTTTTACAGGTTTTAATTCTGCACTAAAACTTATTGTGTATGTTTCAATAGGGTTTCTGTTTTTCTGCTGAACTTTATGGGCATTTTCGTATTTCTACTTCATAATTTTTTTAGTCAGCTACTAGCTTGAAGGTACATCTTGCTGCCTGATGAAGACTTTGTAGTCACCCTTTCTTGATAAGTTTTTTTCCATGTTATGGAAGGACCAAGTAAAGGGCTATGTTAGGCACACAGGAATGTTAAGCAGATACTTTGTAGTCAGATGAGAAAGTAATAGCAGCTATTACTGAAACGTGTAAAAAAACTTCAAGACGTAAGTATGGGCTCTTTAATTAAAATTCTAAAATCCACTTATAGGTAGAAAAGAAATGGTGCAACATGTACTTTGAATAACTTGATACATAACCTTTTATCTAAGATGTACTAGATATTCTAGCATCCTTTACTTCCCTCCTGCTGAGGGATGTTAAAGCAAGGGATTTGTACAAGCCTCATGTAGGCGTGTACAATACTAAACCACTACAGAATGTGCCCAGTCTCTGTGCGTGATCTCTGTGCACAGTGTGTATGTGCTATATGGTTTGAACCAGTTTGTGGTGAAAACAGAAGAGCTAGGGATGCAAGCATCTGATGTAGAGATGTCAAATTGATCAGGCTACTGCAATTCCTTCCTGTGTCCAGCTACCTCTCCCCATCCTACCTGCAGCACATAACTAGCGGAAGGCTGGGGTGGTTTCTATTTCTGGTATACCTTACCACTCTTCATGTGTTGTGCTGTAGCCTGACAAGGAATGAGATTTCTTTCTTCTGGCTCATTTGGAACTCTTCTATGCCCAGCTTCCATTTTTGCTGCATGTTATGCAAACAGATGAGCTATTTGTAGACTGTATTATAATATAACTTGAGGTAATGGTTTGTAGGCTATTAGTCATAATAAAATGAAGGCAAAGTTTGTAGACTATAATATGTAGTATCTATTAGACTAATTCATAAAAACTGAAAAAACTCTTATAAGCTTTCAAGCATGAGAACCTTTCTGTTGGCTTACTCAAGTTTAAGATAATATTCCTATTTATCCTTTCTTTGAGAACAAAAGTTTTCTCCTTTATTCTGTATCAAATAAAAACTGCAACTCCTTGCTGAGTCTTTCATAACTTTGCCCCTCCCTGCTTAAGGACTTCTGCTTTCTTTTGTCAATCCCACCTTTTTATCAGAAAAGCAGAACAATTACCCAGAACTGCTGCCCACACATGGAATATATCAGCATACATCTAGTGGTGTAATTATACTTCAGGAACTCTGCCTGTTGATTTTCCTTTGGAAAGAAGCTCTTTAAGAAATGGGGTAAACAGTATCAAGATTTGAACATGGCAGAGATTGTATGGCAAAGGAGAGGCATGAGTCAAAGGCAGGAAACGATGTAGTGATCTCAAATGCACTTGCATGTATCTAGGCATTTAAATCATTAATCCAAGGAATAAACTGGTCTGGAAAAAAAGAAATGTAGTTTTCTCATGGAAAGACATTGTGGCACTCTTTCGTAAGTAATTTGTAAGTAATGAAAAGACAGTAAGTGTGTGTATGTTGACACGTGGAAAAAACAAATTGTCATTTAAACTCACCAGACTGTATTAGCAAGGCAGATGACCTCTCTTTACTGGGAGAGTCTGTATTTCCTCCATAAAGGTGGATTAGATTTCAGTTCCTTCAGTTGTTCTCTCAAGGATAGCAAGTGAGTTTATGATGATACATAGTAAGGTATGTTATATAATCTGTAGCAAATTAACTCTTAATAAATTTGTTCTTGAAATATGCACATAAATTAACATTAATCATAGAACTACCGCATACATATCTTACTGAGGCTCATTAGAGAGTATGTGAAAGATTCTAGTACAAATAGACTGATGACTGAGACATCTGTCTCTGTCACTTGTATTTGAAGCTTTTCAATCATAAAATTGAAGGTTTTCCTAAATTTAGATCTTCCAATGAGCAGTTATAAAGCTACGTCACAAATCTGAATCCCCTTCTAGTAATGTTAGTGGATATAAGATATGCTCATGATTAGCACTTGTTAGTGGATCTTGTAATTTTTTTTGAGTTAAAACAAAAGCAACATTTTTAAAAGCTTGATTGCCTTGTCTTTCTTATTTTTTGGAAAGTACTTTAGTGTTCTCTTAATATAACTTCAGTTGTTTTCAGTAATGTTAATGCTTATTTTTAGTGCAAATTGTGCAAAGTCAAGCCCTCTAAAGTCACAATGTACCACTTTTTTGGCCAACCCAAACAATATAAGTTCTGTTCTCTTGTGTTTACTCTGTGCATTGAATAAAGCCAAAGTAATCTGCCTGCTAAAGGAAAAGGAAAGAAGGTTGGTTATGATCTGTTTATGCACTGCTGTAGTGCTTATCTCCTGCATAAATTTCAGTGTTTTAACTGCAAATAGTCCTCTTCTGAAATGAATTTTTGCAGCTCAAGCCACATCTTCAGAATTTTCTGTTGAGTGGTTTACTCTTAGTCTTCCAGTATGTAAAAGCAGTTGGCTGTAAGCATTTAAACCCAGCTGTGCTTTTCTGATAACTCACTGGAATGGCTTAAATCGACACCTTTCTATTACCACCTTGAAAAAAGACTTCGGGGAGGTATGGGGTGTGTATAGGAAAAGGGAAATAGGTTTGTGTGTGTCAAAATCCGAACCTGTTTATGCTGTAATTTCTGGCAAGTCTGCATGACTTCTGTACTAGATGACAAGCTTAGAGCTAGTTTACTGCTGTAGTTTTGATTTCTCAGAATATGTGTTCTTAATTGGTTATTCCTATGTGTAATATACTGGGGCACAGTCAAAATAATTATCAATGTTTTGGGGTTTTTTAGTAGGCAAAGATTTCTGTTGCATATATTGTATGCTTGCTCTTGGTTTGATAGGTTTTCACTAGGATTGGTGCATACCTGTATTTCATAAATTACCAGATAGATACATATATATTTTTTTAGTTCAAGTGCATGTGTAATCTAATTTTATAAGTTTACAGTTAAATATTCTTTGTGGTTTATTTTTTTCTTTTTCTTGAATCACTTTGTGCTTTGAGGGATCATAATTTACCCAAATGTGTTGCTATGTCTTCAGAAATGTTTGTTGAATGCTTAAGTTTAAACGTGTTTCTGACTACCTTTAGTAGAATTGTATTTGACACAACACGTCAAACTAATTTCTGCTGTCAGCTTAGAGTATCTGAATTTCTAAAACGTAGTGGTTTCAAATTTTGCATAATTCGTAGCATAGAAATTCTAAAAAGGCATTGTATGTTTTGCCTACTTTTGCTTACTTCAGTGGTAGAACAGTTGATAAATTCTTGAAAAGTTGAGATTTACTTTCTAATTGCCCCAATGTCTCTGAAAATCTCATGCCAGATGTGTCAAAGAGCTGCTTTTTAACAAACTGAAACGTGTGTTTCCTTGCGTATTGGGTCCATTTCATATATATGCAACATTTGCCCCCACTGTTTGTTTGGATTTTTTTTTTTTTTGTTACTGTTTGTGATCTTATTCCTTTATCAATCTTGAATAGGTTACAAATGGTGTGGGTTTTTGTCATGAATCGAATGAGCTCCCAGAGCAGTTCATCCACTCAGCGTAGGCGAATGGCTCTAGGAATTGTCATTCTTCTCCTAGTTGACGTGATATGGGTTGCCTCCTCAGAACTCACTTCTGTAAGTATTGTTCCATGCATCTGAAAAGGAAAATAAAAGCCTATTTAAGAGAAAGATGCAGCAGAAACATGGTCATTCAAACACTCAGTGAGTGTTTAATGTTTAACCACCTTTTCAGTAGGGGGAAGATGATATCCTTCGGGTTGGTGAACTAATCTATATCCACTAAAAGCTCAACTTGGTGACTGTAGCTTTCGAGGCAGGAGGTGTTATTGATGACTTTAAAATTAAACAACATAAGCTCATAACTATGTACTGTCATTACAGAGCTCTTTTTGGTGTTTGCTGTATTGATTAAAATAATGTCCATATGTTTCCCAAGAAGTAGTAAATGAGCTGTGACATTGCAGGCTAGGTGGTATGGTAGATTATAGTTTAGAGCATCTCAAAGTTTTAGAACTTAAACAGAGCTTTAGCAATGGAAATTGAGTTTTTAATAAATTATTGTAAAATTTGGGTTTCTGAACTGCCATTAAGTTATGTTCTGTATTGGTTTTGAAACTAAGCATGTAAGACTGTTTGTGCTTAACATCCTACTATATTAAAACATTCTTTCCAGTGAGCTGGTAGGACCACTATTGATACTGAAATGTTACTTAATCAAAGTAATCTTCTCTAATTTGTGATTACTGTGCTATTGCTTATAAAAGTGATCTTTCATTTAGAAAAAAATTGTACATAAATGTATTTTCTGTCCTGTTTGAGTTCAGTAGCATCTCAATGTGTTGCTTGGTTAGATACAAGTAATAAGTAGCTTTTCTCCGGTGACATTGTATCTTACCAAATGGCTCAGTGGCTTCTTGTTGACATTTAAGACAGATTGGCAGAGGGAACCCCCAGAAGAGGAAGGGCCACTTTTGGTCATACATGCCAATACTTGCGGCACTGTCATTTTGGGAACCAGACTGTTCTGGACTGTATGCTTAAACGTGTTCATTCATTTTGTGAATGCTCACCTAATTGGTAATTTTGGATACTGCAATTATTTTCTTTCCACAGTATGTTTTTACAAAGTACAACAAACCTTTTTTCAGTACATTTGCAAAAACATCCATGTTTGTTCTATACCTCTTGGGATTTATTGTTTGGAAACCATGGAGGCAACAGTGTACTCGTGGGTTTCGTGGAAGGCATGCAGCTTTTGTAAGTATTTTAATTCTGTAAATGTTCTTGTATTTGTTGAAGTTTGTACAGAAAAAAAGTTAAAATAGGGACTGGAGAAAAGCAAAGTTTACATGTTTGTGAAATACTGCTTTCAGAAAAGCAATTATAAACTGAATCATGGCACAGGAAGACACGGCAATCATAATTGTGGTCTTGTGAGAGGAAAAAAAGAAAGGAAAAAGCAATATGGAATGTGTCAGGAATTATAAGAAATGCTCTACTGGGCCAGACCATTGGCCCGTCTAGCCTGGTGTTTTATCTTGGACAGTTGCAGAGGATCATTCTTTTTAAGATGAGTTTATGAGCCTCACCACTGTTGGCTGTTGGTTCTCTTTTACTTTACCAGCATCTGTAACCAATGCAATCAGTATTTCAGCTTTGTAGCTGGTTTTTACTACTGACTTTTTTTGTCTTTGGCAGAGCTATGAACTGTTTGCTAAAAGGTTTTGAGGTTTTTAAAGTTATATTTAGGAAAGGTGGTTAAATTACGTTTTGGTTATTGTTAGTATTGTATTTTTGTAGCCTTTATGCACGAGTGACCTGTTGCCCATTCTAGAACCAGGCATAGTTTGTGCTAGAGTCTAAAATTATTGTCACGTTACACAAATACATGCTTTTTTACAAGGAAATTAAGAGATGCTGGGAAGAGCACTTGTTCTGTGCCAGCGTTCCAGAATGCTGAACAGCAGGACTCAGGAAGCAGTAAGGCATTTGGCCTGATATTAATCTCGCATTAAAATAACAGAAAATGTGATCCAAGAACATGCTGTTAATCAACATGTCTTTATAGAAAATAGCTTATATGAAAGGAACTGACTTCAGTTCTGGTTATATTAGACTTCACAGATAGTGACAGTTGTAGGCGTACATACTTAAATTGAAGTGATCTTAAGCCAAATTATTTTTATTAAAAAATCCCAAACACCCAAAACTTGAAAAATCCAAACCTTTTGTTTTTTTAAAGAAAATCTTGTGTTAAACACATTGAACACTGCGAGTTGGCTGGTATTTTGAAATAATTTTTATTAGATCAGCCTTTAATGCCAAGTGTCTGTGCATAGTAGGGCAGGTGTTAGACATGATGCTGTTCAGGATCTTCATAAGATAAACATGAAATAAACAATTTACAGGCTCTCTGCTGTCAGTAATGGCAAATAAGGATGATGACAGCTCTGAAGGATGATTAGTTGTACAGAGCAATTATACTGACCAAGTTTATTAGTCTGAGCAGATGAGTGGAATAAGGGGCTGTTGCCTAGTGTGAATTGTAGTGGTGATACTGACCAACTGAATCTCCTGCAGTGCTGTGTCACAGAAAGAGATAACATGAACTCATTTGAACTGGGCTGCAATGAGTAAGAGTGCTCAATCTGTCACATTTTCTGTGTGGCAATCATGGCACCACTACAAAACCCCCCCTTTTTTTTTTCTTTCTAATCCCATAAAAAGTAATTTTTAAAATAATTTGTAGGAAATAGCCATTACTTCTGGTGTTAGCGTATTTCGAAAGAACAGCGCAGAGACAGGACTGTAGTGTGCAGGTAGAAGGCTTTTTTGTTTGGTTTTGTTTTCTCCCCCTTCCCGCCCCCAAGAAGTTTAGTTAAATATTCAACTGTATAATTATTACAAGTGCCTTTAAAATATCTTATGTTTATTAGTCTGGAACAAAAATTATACGTTTATAGATTTTTATTTCAATAATGATTACTTAGGTAGACACTCATACCTTACTTTAAAGCCCGCTTCACATCAGAGGCTTTGCTTAATAGATTGCTTACGAGCATGGTGGAACAGCAAGCTGCAGGTCAGGGAACAGGGGGTAGTGCTTGTTAAGATGCAGAAAGGAAGAGGAAAAATTATACTTGACACCCTCCTAATTTAAGTCGTGTTAAAACCAAGGCAGAGTTCCAGGTTTTTATGCAAAGGAACTTTGCCTCAATAAAATGAAGAAGCAAGAGGCTTGTTGCTAATATATCCACAATAATTTAGTGAAGCATGTTTGCTTCACTAAACTAAACAAGTTTGGGCATTCTAACAGCCTAATCCTGCATTGATACCCAGGCAGTTGAATTCAGTGGGGTTCTCCAAGAGGTACAAGAAATTACTGAAATTATTTACTGAACTTGTAAGCCCTCTTGTTTAGTGGGGAGGAGGGCTGGAGGGAGAAAGGGGATTGGGATAGAATTATGGAAAAAGGCATTAAAAAACTTTTTCTCAAAAAATTTCAGTTGTTAATAACTCTGCCTTGATAGATTATTACATTTAGGGTTCTGTAATTAGTTTGCAGATGCTGAAGGTTACTTTGCTGCTTGTACAACAGACAACACAGTAAACAGTTCTCTGGTAAGTGCCTTACTTTGTGAAGGTCAATGCTTTACAGTAACATGGCACCATTATCCTGACTTACTGTTTTTAAGATGTGGTAGTCTTAAATGTAATAGTTTTTGGCAAAGGAGATTGGTAACTTATAAGTGCCGCAAATAATGATATTGCTTATTATGAGAAATACAGGTTCTCAGCTCAATGAAACACTTGAATGTTTCTGTAGTAGTTTGTGAAAGAACTATTTATGTTGTACAGAGGAAACTTTTGCATGTTCAGCTCAGTAGCTGCCAGAGCAAAATGTAGAGAGCTAGTGGTAAAGTGGCCTAAAATCCACAACGGAATCATTCAGTTAGTTGAGTATCTCGTATACTGTGGTCCTGCCTTGTGTTTTGAAAGAGAAACAGACAGTCTTCTTCCAGTGGACAGAGTGACTACTGTTTACTGAATCAAATGTCCGTACTGGTATTCTGCTGTTAAGCTACATTGCCAGATGGCATTTTTGAGGTGATTTTCATCATCCGTAAATGACAGTTTGTTATGCCTCTGCCAGTCAGAGATTGCTGCTTAATCTGCATCCCTAAATCAGAGGCCACATGCAGAAATGTATCCAAAACACAGAACTTTTTAAGTTTGCACCATCTCCACAATAGAGTAGGGCGAGGCAGTTGAGTGTTGACAGACTGCCTTATATGTTGGAGTTCCTCTCCCAAAGCTTTTGACACTTGGTTCTAGATCATGAGCTTTGAGGGTCATGGGAGGAAAATTAGTATGTATTCATTTTTTGTGTATATATTCTGTGTTTTATGTTTCTAGTTTATAATTTGGACAGAATCTGTAGATCTAATGAAATGCCTGTGATTTTGATGAGTTATTTTTTAATTTTAAATCAGTAGGTTTGAATTTTCTGGGGATGAGTTTTGTGTTTATGAGGATAAACACAAAAGTGCACACTTGTTTTTCAGTACTACATTTTACCAATATGTTTAACATAAAATATAGAATATGTATGAACATTTTTGACAAGCCTATCCACTGCGTGCAAAACGACTTTGTTAAATGTGATTATCTTAATATTAATGAAGCTTTATTAGTTTTCTAAGTCACTACATTAATTCTACTGCTTATAATTTGAATATCCTGCCTAATTGTATCTTTACTTATACTGATTCATTTCAGAGTGAACCTTTATATGTTCCTGTAAAGTTTCATGATTTGCCAGCTGAAAAAAATGGCAGTAATAATAGTGATGCAGAGAAAAGTGAGTAAAGACTTTTGGAATGCTGAAATGCTAGTTCTTTGGTGAATGAATTACTTTGCTCCTTGTTGGTATAGCTGCTGTCATGTTGCAGGACTTGCCTCTTTTTTTTTTTTTTTTTTTCCTTCCTTACATCTTTTATTGCACGAATTGCAGTCTCATATATTTACTTTCAGGTAGAGAAAACATAGGCCTATCGTTCAGTTTACCTTTCTTGGTCACTACAGATCCAGCCTATGTTTATCTCAAGGGACCAACTGGGTTCAGTACTTGTGATTCTTTCCTCTGGGCTTGTATGACCAGCAGCAGTGAGTCAGCCTCTGGAAAAACAAGCTATTGTCCTTTTTAGAGCAGGAGCAAAGCAGTCAAAGTAAGAATTTTAACAGTCTATGTGCATTCTGATTTTATTTAAGCCTTACTATCTTGTGATAGTAGCTGAAACAGGCCTAGCTGTCCCAGATGATGATAGAAATTTGGCTGTCAAAGAATCCAATTATCTGATCCTCAGCTAAAGAGTCCCCGCTTATAAAAGGGAAAGTCTCTTTGTTAATGTCTAGATGACGCATGTTAAGAACAGCTTTGGTAGGCTCTGCTGTCCTGTGATAACATGCACCAATCACTTCAGCGTTGTTTGAGCTGTTTGAGCTGTAGCTTTTCCCTTTACTTTTTTTAGGAAAATAGGTATTGTTTAGTATTGAATTAGGCTAATATTCATATGTAGCGGGTAATGTTTTCTTTACACAAGAAGCTAATGATTCTTGCAGTACCTTTATAAATAAAATCTGATCCTGGTTGGAGAGATCAGTTAGAGGGTGGATTTCAAATGAGCAAGTAACCTTATGATCTCTGCTAAGCTTTGAGGTCTGTTGGATGCTCTCATCCTCTGAATGAAACAGTGTCCTTGCAGTTAGATATAGTTGTGTGCAATTTTTGGCTGTTTGACTATAAACAGTTAAAGGAAAACCTCTGTGTAATATTTATCAATACAGAATAATTCCTACGTAAAAATTTGTGTTACCTTGTGTGGATTTTTTTGACAGGGAGGAGGGATGGTGCTTTTCAGTGAGGTGGACAACTGTATTCATTGAAAACAGTAACTGTGCTTTGTCTTATCAGTGGCCTATCAAGTAGCAAAATACTAGTTTGATAAATAAAAATAATGGCATGCCTTCTATTTGGATAAAAACCAGTTATTTGTGAAGTATTGTACTCAATGTTGTATTAGAACATCATAGTTTTATTTGCATATTGTGTTGGCTTGAAAAGTTTAATGATAATGTGCAGCTTTTTTTTTTTTTTTCTTCTTAAGCTCCCAAAAAGCCTCGTGTGAGGTTCAGTAATATTATGGAGATTCGACAGCTACCATCAAGCCACGCATTGGAAGCAAAGTTGTCTCGCATGTCATATCCAACGGTTAAGGAGCAGGAATCAATATTAAAAACTGTAGGAAAACTCACTGCAACTCAAGTAGCAAAAATTAGCTTTTTCTTTTGCTTTGTGGTATGTGCTCCATTCTTTCGAAAACTTAAGTATAAATGCAATTAAAACTTGTATAATAGTAGTGAAACAGTATTGAGATGACTTGTATTCTTTATGCCTCATTTTGTAAATATACTATAAGAAGTAAAACCTTCCTCGTGCTGGACATGAAGGTACAACTTTTTAAAGAGAGAGTAATAAAAAGAGATCCTGGGTGTGTAGTTAACCGTAAGGCCAGTTGTGAGATGTGCCACGGTTTTGTGCCGTGTTGTCCCATGTTGGGTATGTTTGGTGCAGCAAAATCAGGGTTTACATGTATACAGGCTGTTAATAGCTGCAGTGAGAGTGCATGAAATGGGTAAATGTCACCATGATCTCTTTCAGGGCCATTGCAGAAGGAGTACAGTCTTATGACTCACTGTGACATTGTGCCCGCCAGCAGTATAAAGAGAAGATAGTTAATTGTCCTTCAGCTTCATTGAAGGGTGCAAGATTTACTTATGAATCTGTTGGTTGCTGGTGTTTCTGCATCGTGCTTCAGTTCTAGGGGGAGAGAGAGATAGTGGTGGCATGATTTCTGAGAGACAGTAAAAATGGAGAGAGTGGATCAGTGATAGCTTTTCCAGAAGTAGCTTCACTGATACTGCTGAATAGGTTATATGTAGTGTGGACCCACCACAGTTTTTCCTCAGGAAGTGGTGCTCTTTAAACATTTAAAATAATAGTAATAACAATAACGGTAGTAATAGTAGTAGCACTGCTGATGCACGGCCCCAAAAATGATGTTAATTTTCTGCATGCATGCATAGATAAAGAACATGCACACAGCAGCAAGAGAATAATAAACCACTCATTAGTGATTTTGGATGGATGAAATAGCTTTTTAAAATATGATTTAAAATTCTATATGTTTGAGTGAATTTCTGTATGTATATATATACCTGCAGATTTTCTAGGGTAGAGGCCTTGTGTTCAAAATTAATCCTGTTTGTGCTGTTCATGGATGCTGCTACTACTGGCATGTGTCCGTATTTCTTCTTGGACTGTATAAATATTTCCAGCCAAGGCTTTAGAGAGCGGTAACTTCCCTGAGGATAGATCTGAGATCTTATTAATGAGATGTCAATCAAGAAATGATAAAACACTTGCCATTTTTTTCCTTTATGGAGGAACATGAATCCTTTCAAACAGACATCCTTCTAAAATCAGAAATCCTTCCAAAATATTTTTGAGGTATTGAATGTAGGTGGCACTTGTTTTTTAGGGTGTAGATGTGTGCCAGTTTTAAGTACTCTGAAAAAAAAACTCAATGGGCTTACTAATGTCCTAGGTAGCTCTGGAATTGATTTGCAGCCCTTGTGCTGTTCTCATCTTGAAGCACTTGCAAAAGAAGTTAAAAGTACTTATAGTTAGTATAGAGTAGCTATTATAATGTCATTGTAATTATTTAATAATTTTAAAGTTCTGAAGTATGTTATTTCATTATTAGACACGTAGTTGAATGTCGTTGGTTTGGGCCAGTTCTAATTTTGCCTCTGTCTTTTAATTAATGCACCTGCCACTTTAATAGAAGTTAGAAATCTTTTTGAGGTAAAAGTTGTTCTGATTTTATTTTTGGATAAATAGTTTGGGTTTTTTTCTTTAAGCAGGATTTTATTGCACTGAGTAACTTAAACTCTGTTGCTATCCATGTAATCACAAAATTGTTTTTCTTTTCCCCTAGTGGTTCTTGGCTAATTTCTCTTACCAAGAAGCTCTGTCAGATACCCAAGTTGCCATAGTTAATATCTTGTCTTCAACCTCTGGTAAGTTTTATTTACACCACCACATGTGCGTTATAAGGTTGTTTATAACATAAAAATCTTTTTGGTTACAATGGACTTGTGACATGATTTACCTGTGGTTTTGGGGAAGTAGTAAGGCTTAAAGCCTTTGAATATGTGCATTTAAAAATTTCATGATGTAATTTCAGGGGTGTAGGCTATCTTCCTGATTCCCCAGCTTTTTGCTCTTCAAGCTTCTGTGTGTACTTCTGCAGTTATGTCGGTGTATTAAAGAGGTGTATTGAGAGTGTAATAGGTTTGAAGGAAAGGTGGTATAACTTTTTATCAAAATAGAGACAATTCATAGTAAAATCTTCTTGCTAATTACTGTTTTTTTTAAAAAAACAGTTTTAGGGGTAAAGAACTTAAACCACCTAAATATTATGCAAATCACTTGCTTTACAGGTTTTATGCAAGGCTCTAATATGATCTTTACAGTACTTAAATTATTTGACAGTCCATGTTTTGAGGAGTAACTTTTTTTTGTTTTATAAAATCAATTTCGAAAGCACAACTATGATTTTTCACTGACTTTTCAGGCTTACTGCTGTTTATTTTGTTAGTATGTCTGGCCTTTCTCAAAGTTAGGCATGTGTTTGCTCATCTGAGGATTCACATCAAAGGTGTTAGTTTCATAATAGTTCTGATTAAAATTAGGGATGCTAAGATCAAGTAGTTAAGTAAGTGAAATGTAAAGAAGAAAATGTCTGTGCAGTTTTCTGAATGAGCTAGTAGCAAAACTTGACTGTGTAAACCCTTCTTAATTTCTCTTGCAGGGCTTTTTACTTTAATCTTAGCTGCAGTCTTTCCCAGTAACAGTGGGGATAGATTTACCCTGTCCAAATTGTTAGCTGTTATTTTAAGGTAAGATAACGGGATGGAACATTTGGTCAAAAACTCTCTGATAGAGTCAGAGGACAACTATACCTACTACACCTGTAGTATCTGTGACAATATATGATATGCTTCACTTTTTAAAAAATTCTTGTTTCCTGGATAAATTGAGCAGTTGAATTCTTTTTAAATACTTCTTGTCATGAACAATTACTGACTCTCATGCTCCTGTAGGAAATCAGATTAGTCAGGTTTCTGGTGGAAATATGTTAACTTATTTTCTTGTTGTTTAATGATGGTTTATTAATTTTTGTGTAGATGTGAAAAAGGAAGAGGTTTGATATTGACTGTTCCATAAAATGCCTCGTGCATTGTTCTGGGAAGTTAAAAGTGGGGTTGGTTTGTTTGTTTTTAGCTTAGGATCAGGCCTTAGCAATAGAGAACTCCTTTTGGCTTTTCCAAAAGTGGGTTTTGATTAACAAAAAATACCTACAGATAGAACTGTGTTTTTATATTTCTCTCCCCCTTTTTTCTTCTGTCTTGGTAAAAAAATTCTTGGGTTTAAATAGCGTTTTGCATTTCTTCTTTTTTGCAAGCATTGGTGGTGTGGTACTTGTTAACCTTTCTGGATCTGAGAAATCTGCTGGAAAAGATACGATAGGTATTTACTTTTTTTTAATCCTAGAATACGCAGTGATGAGTACCATCTTTGACAATATGCAGTAGGTTGTACAGCAAGCTATGTATTTCTTACTTGTGTATTATTTCACGACCTGCCTTTTTAGTTTCAACTTCTGAAACTGGCCATTTACTATGACTCTTTACCCCCTGTGTATATAATTTAATTGAGAAAGTATTTATATTTTTGAGCTTTTTGCATTTTTCCATGCTTTTCATACAGAAATGGATTCTGTAGTATACAATTTATCTCTGAAAGTTTTTGTAATAGGTGTATGCTTAGGGAGAGTTGATCCTAGTGTGAATAACGTGTTTGGGATGTCTTAAGTGAGTGTGTTTTTCATCTTCACAGGTTCCATTTGGTCTCTTGTAGGAGCAATGCTGTATGCTGTGTACATAGTAATGATAAAAAGAAAAGTAGATAGAGAAGATAAACTTGACATACCAATGTTCTTTGGTAAGACTAAAAAGAACTGTATTGAAAGTTGTAATTCAGTGTGAGATTAAATTGTTTGCTTTTGGGCACTGAACTGTGTTTGAGTGGTAAAAGGGCTCAGAAAAGCCAAGGAAGTGGAGAAAGCCTATTGTTCCTGTTGTTACGAGTACTTTAGAGCCTGGTTGTGTGAATTGTTTCTTGTTTACAGTCTTAACAATGAAAGTTATCACTACCTGTAGGAATGCAGTCAGCCCCTTTGACTCAATAGAATTTTTTTTTTTTGGTCAATGTCAAACCTCTAAATACCTGATGTTTGTGAATTTCAGGTGAAGTTTCCTTTCCTTTGAAGCATTTAAAATATTGCTTTGTTGCTGCTTTTATGTATGCATGTTGTCAAAATATCAGAGTTTAGCTGCAATTTTAGTTATATTGAAGGATATTTATTGTGAGTTACTTAATACTGTTTTTATACTCAGGTTTTGTAGGGCTGTTTAATTTGTTGCTGCTGTGGCCAGGGTTTTTCCTGCTTCACTATACTGGGTTTGAAGCATTTGAGTTTCCCAATAAGCTGATATGGATGTGCATTGTCATTAATGGCCTTATCGGAACAGTTCTGTCAGAGTTCCTCTGGCTGTGGTATGTACTACATGTTTTGTACATATATTTTGTGTAAATTGTCAAAACTGTATTCTCAAATGTTGAGAAGTCAAATTCTCTAGGTAGGGAGTTTTGCCCCCCCCCCCCCCCTCTTTTTTTTTTTTCTTATTTCTGGCCATCTCTGCAGTTTGAGTTAGAGGATGTCATTCATCATAATTCAGCAGCTAACTTTAAAAAGCAGGTGATGTGGTCATGTATTTATTAAGATACTGTGTGCTTAGCTCATTTTAGAATTAACGTTTTGAGAAGAAAAGACTTTGTGGTACAGAGTTGCAATAGTAATAGGAGAGCATGAACTTCTGTTTTAACAGTTCTTTGGTTTCCCAGGCCTTGTGCACGTTGGATATATATGAGTCAGAATTCAGTGTTCTGTAGTTGACATATTTGTTTAAATCATTCAAAGACTTAATGAACCAAATTTCTTCAGAATGCATTAATCGTGAAGCTATGGCAATTAATAAATTAGCCTAGCTTTGTTTAGTAATGTAATTATATGATAGTCTGGATGGGTTGGCAACAGAGGATTGAACACGAGACTCCCAGATGAACAGCTCAAAAGCTGTAGCAGACTTAAACCTTTGTGTAGCTGTTAGAAGGATGGTGTCATTAGAGAACTTTGGTAATTCAGGGTTCCCAGCTTCAGAGAATTCAGGGAGCCTGAGTTCTGGACCCGCATTAGGTTAAAATGGGGGTGTAACAGAAAGTTCTACAAGTTGGAAAGTCCTATTTTATTCTGGAAACACAGAGGAAGAGTTTCCAGAAAGAGACATGCTTCCAGTTGCTCAGTGAAGGATGTCAGTTTCAGTGCTACATTTTGAATAGGTGTAGCAGCTTGTGAGGTTTTGCCTGAGAACCCTTGGTGTCCAGCTGGCTTTGCAGTGGGGAGACTGGAAAACCTCAGGGTACAGCTACTCTGAAACAGAGACATCTGTAATCCTAGGATCCTAAATTCTGTGACAGTACTACAACAAAAAAAATACATGTGGAGTTCCATGAAAACTGTTTAATTTTTACCGTAATCAGAATAGAGATTGAGTAGGTCAAAAAACAAATTTCAGAATTCTAACAAAAATTGCAGCTGCAAGACTTTCCTTCTTTAAAATCAGTTGCATGCAGAACTGATTGCAGTTCCACAAAAAAAGCATAGTTGGTACTGTTCTCAGTACGTGCCAGCACTGGGAAGAATTGCCTTTTATCTGAATAAATAACTAAATTCTGGATCCGTTTGAAATAAGAGGCTGACTCAGTAGTGGGCATTACTGATATGAATTGAGGAGATACCTCTTTATTTTCTTCATATGGTGGACTAGGCTATTTCATGGAGGAGTACTTGCTAACAGGTGTCACTTTGCTGGATAACTTTTGACTTGGTCGATCATAAAATGGGAATTGCAGGTTTTTTATATTGGATGTCATGCTCTTGGTATCGAAATGGCTCAGGCTGGTCATGTTTTATTTGTAGAGCATTAGGTTTATATCAAAATGCCAAAGATCTCAAGAGTTCATGTGCTCTGTTAGGTCTGTCCTATGTATACTTTGAGGTTTTAGCTCATTTTTTAAAATGTATTTAATTAATTGTTAAAAGTTTATTCAGTAAATCAGTCATTTGCAAACTAAATATGACTTGTAAAGGAATCGTGGAAAAAGGGCCAGTTTTCTGTGGCTGTTTATGAGTACTGCTCTGACATATGCATGTAGTTTTGTTGTTCTGTCATTTAACTAAATTCTGGTGGCTTCTTACGATTTAATGATTTAGAGAAGTTTAATGACTTATTTTCTGCTGAGGAAATATGATGAGACCACTTGTAGAATGCAGAGAAGTGTTACTGAGACTCCCAAGAAAGATTTCAAGGGTGTATTTTAGAACGAGATTTAAAAAGCACAATTTGTTAATTTAAGAATTTGTCTATTTGTAAAAAATTTCTCTTTTTGGGTGGGATTTCTAGACATCGGTAACCTTTATTTTTTAATTAACCAGACTGGGTCCAAACAGATTTAATTGCTATAAGCTGGTATTAAGCTATTTCAAAAAAGAGACAAAATGCGGATTTTTCTAGGTGAAGTCACTAACAGTGAAGTAGTGAGTTTTTCGTAATTCAAAAAGCTTGTATGGGAATTAAACCTCACGACTCCAGACAACATCAGTAGTCTAATTGTGGTTATCTCAGTTTTTAATGATTAAAACAAATGACTGACAGTTAAGATTGATCGAATGTCTTCTGCAGTTTGATATATTACTTTAGTTGTCTTTTAACTTTTAGGTAAGACTTTTTTTTTTTTTTTTAAATCTTTTAGGGGATGCTTTCTTACCTCATCACTGATAGGCACACTTGCGCTAAGCCTTACAATACCTCTGTCCATAATTGCTGACATGTGCATGCAAAAGGTAACGTACTACTGAGTTTTAAGCATTAACAGAATTTCTTTGAATTCAATGGCAGTGTTATTTTTAACAATGTATACAATGAACAGTATTTTACTTCTGTCACTCTTTAATAATTGTTGAACTGCATTGTAATTAATGCTCTTTGGATATTGACAGAGTAATTTTCCTCTTGCAAGCGTGCACTTGCACATGTAAAGATATTTCATTAAGATGCAGCTTGTATGAGAAGTACACAAAGTCATCAGCAATGCCTGGCAAAATGCTTTACCTTGAGCTGGCTTTTATCAGAATGAAAGAACAACTGCTAGTACAGCACACCTTAAATTAATGTCTTTACAGTTATAGAATTGATATAGAATGCCTACCTTGAAAATACTAATTTAGTGACAAAAGGAATGTAGCAGCTACAAGGCTTAGTTGTACATTATTAGATCCACGTGGATGGTGAGGCTTCCATTTAACTGTCATCCTTTAAGTTAGTCCAGTTTCATTGAGGTAATAGCTGTGGAAGCACCTTGCATGTAAAGAAAGAAAAGAATCTGATAATTTGAGTTTAGAATGGAAACTACATGAAGTTAGTTTGTATTACTCATCAAGCTATATAGATGCTTCTCGTGCTGGTAGTGTAGAATTCTCAGTTTTAAATATTTAATTATGTATGAACTTCAACTCTAGCTTTGAATATTTGAATTTACTATTTAATTAGTGGCAAGGAATATAAAATTCTTAATTTCATGTGAATAATGATTATTGAGCATATACTGCAAGCATGCAGTTATTGTTGTTTGGGGTTTTTTTGTTTTGTTTTGTTTTAAATTGAGGTCACATAACTGTTTCTGTTTCCTTGTTTCTGCTCTTTATTTTGGACTTAAATAATCCCTGTTGCTTAAAATTTAGTTTGCGAAGTTGAATTCCGTTTGAAAATTAAGCCACCTGTTTAACTCTTTGAAATAGCTTTTAACCTGATTTTTATAGCACATCTGCAGTTAAAGCAAGCTTTGTCTTTCTTACAGTGATAACGCTCGTCTTTTTTGGCCGGGCATCCCCATTTAGTCCATTATGGCTATGCCTTTTGACACCTCTCAGTGTAGACACAAGTGTATTTGTCACTTGGCTAAAGTGGAAGCATTTCCCATCACGTGCTTGTGTGCATGTTGACCATTGGTGACACCTCTATTTCATTGATGTTAAATGTGTGGTATAGACATGTGGGGCTGCAGGAGCTTTTTTAGAAAGCAGGGGGTAAAATGATGTGCCAGGCAATGCGTTTTCTGGGATGAAAACAGTGAATTAGTCAGCATTTGAGCACCTCAGCGTAAATACAGCGTTTTATTGAAATACAAGAAGTTCTTTACTGAGATCATAAAGCTTTCTGTGAATTATGAAGCAGCTTAGTAATGGAATAGTTTAGCTGAAAATGATACAAATAAAAATGGGCAAAACTGACCAAACTTAGAACTAACTGTCTCGTACTATTACTGAAATTTTGGATAGACTGGTGGTCTTGCTCTGACAGCTGCTGCTTGCTTCCTCTTCCCAATGGCTGTTATGTACTTACTGTCCAAGTTTCGACTTCCCCATCTGCTTGGTGCTTTTAGCTTGTGGCTGCTTCTGTGTTTGAGGGTATGCAAACTCT